GGTCAATGAACCCAGTGGGCTGGCACATATAAACCTCCTCATATAGATAGTCGTGGAGGAAAGCATTTTGAACGTCCAACTTACAAACGGGCCACTGAAATTAAGCAGATAAGGCTAAGTTAAGATGTATGGTGGAATGATTCACAACTCGGCTAAATGTCTCGCCATAATCCAACCCTTCTTGCTTATGAAAACCATTAGCCACTAAACGGGCCTTGTAACGTTGAATAGAGCCATCGGAATTGCATACTCACTTATTTGGCAAAATATTCAAGGTGGGCTTTGGAGGAACAAAGGACCCAAGTACCGGCTCGTTGAAGAGCATTAAATTCTTCTCCCATAGCGATGCACCATTCTTGAAATTTATTAGCCTGACTGAAACAAGTGGGCTCAACAATATCATTAGTAAAGTCCAAGAAAGCATGATTTGCATATTTAGGATTGGGCTTATGAAGACCAGTTTTAGCACAAGTCACCATAGAATGAGTAGTAGAAGATCTTACCCCAGAAGTTGTCGAAGGTGATGAGTGTCTTGAAGAACTTGGTAAAACAAGTTCAGGGTCATGAGAGGGAAAAGTGAGGATGGTCCTATGTGGGTTGCGACGGTAAACTTGGAGAGAACTAGGTGGGGAGTATTGGGTTGTTTGCGAGGCAACAACTGTGGGTGTATTGGTGGCATTGGGCAAAGGAGAAGATAAGGGTGGGCTAAAGGATATGTGGGTTGGCAAGGGTGAATATAGGCTGGGAGAGGTAGGCGTGACAATTTGGTGGCCATATGGGGCTGCGAGGCAACCTGCTGGTTGGGAATATACCTAAAAATTTGTAATGGTGGTGCAGAATCCGCAGCAGAGGAAGAAGAAATTAGGGTATGAGAGCCCTTGGTCTCTTGAAAGAGGAAGCAATGTTCATCAAAAATAACATGGCGTGATAAAAAGACTGTTAGTGGTCAAGTTTAAACAACGATAACCTTGGTGATCTAATGAGTAGCCCAGAAAGACACACTTAACATATTGTAAGTGAAGTTTATTAGTATTGTAAGGCCGAAGATATGGAAAACATGCACACCCAAAATTTTCAAGAAAAGCAAAGTTAGGTTCTTTATGAAAAAGAATTTGATATGGAGACTGAAGACCCAAAACTTTATAAGGAAGATGATTGATTAAATACACAGCAGTATGCATGCATTGGCGGACCCAATGAAGGACTACTATGGGCATTTGCCCACACTTACAAAAAAGTTACAGCCATATAATCCCACCAAAACTCACTTTAAAAAAAAAAAATTAGGTCCTTTTTAGGTGGAGCCCCAATGTCGCCCATCCAATACATACACTTTAAGCCCAAAGCTTATATTTAAAAAGAAAAACCCTATGTTATAAAAGAAGAATAAAGATCCCACAAAGGTAACTTATTCTGTAATTTTGTGGAGAACTCAGTCACCAAGTTCACTTTAAACCCAAATATTTTTTGTTTGGCTATATATTGGTTTGATTTTTTTTTTAAGCCCTTAGATAAACGAAAGTCTAAGTCCGCCATTGTATGCATGGCCTCAGCCCAATAGGCAAGAGGCATGGAAGCATGGGCCAACAAGGTAAGCCCAGTGTCAACAATATGACGATGTTTCCGTTCTGCCAAACCATTTTGTTCAGGGTGATGAGGACAAGAAATGCGATGGTCAATACCATGAGTAACTAAAAATTTATGAAAAATACAGCTAGTATATTCACCACCTCCATCAGTTTGAAGGGCTTTAATTTTAGTAGAAAATAAATTCTCAACAATCGTCTTAAATTTAACAAACAAAGAGAAAACCTCAAATTTCAAGCGCATAGGAAATATCCACGAGTAGTGAGAAAAATTATCAATGAAAAGAACATAAAATTGAAATTCGGAAACTAATTTATTAGATGAACTCCATACATCAGAGTGAATGAGGTCAAGAGGAGCATGCGTAACAAACAAAGGGTAGGCGTGACAATTTGGTGGCCATATGGGGCTGCGAGGCAGCCTGCTGGTTGGGAATATACCTAAAAATTTGTAATGGTGGTGCAGAATCCGCAGCAGAGGAAGAAGAAATTGGGGTATGAGAGCCCTTGGTCTCTTGAAAGAGGAAGCAATGTTCATCAAAAATAACATGGCGTGATAAAAAGACTCTGTTAGTGGTCAAGTTTAAACAACGATAACCTTGGTGATCTAATCAGTAGCCCAGAAAGACACACTTAACAGATTGTAAGTGAAGTTTATTAGTATTGTAAGGCCGAAGATATGGAAAACATACACACCCAAAATTTTTGGAAGAAGAAATTAGGGTATGAGAGCCCTTGGTCTCTTGAAAGAGGAAGCAATGTTCATCAAAAATAACATGGCGTGATAAAAAGACTGTTAGTGGTCAAGTTTAAACAACGATAACCTTGGTGATCTAATGAGTAGCCCAGAAAGACACACTTAACATATTGTAAGTGAAGTTTATTAGTATTGTAAGGCCGAAGATATGGAAAACATGCACACCCAAAATTTTCAAGAAAAGCAAAGTTAGGTTCTTTATGAAAAAGAATTTGATATGGAGACTGAAGACCCAAAACTTTATAAGGAAGATGATTGATTAAATACACAGCAGTATGCATGCATTGGCGGACCCAATGAAGGACTACTATGGGCATTTGCCCACACTTACAAAAAAGTTACAGCCATATAATCCCACCAAAACTCACTTTAAAAAAAAAAAATTAGGTCCTTTTTAGGTGGAGCCCCAATGTCGCCCATCCAATACATACACTTTAAGCCCAAAGCTTATATTTAAAAAGAAAAACCCTATGTTATAAAAGAAGAATAAAGATCCCACAAAGGTAACTTATTCTGTAATTTTGTGGAGAACTCAGTCACCAAGTTCACTTTAAACCCAAATATTTTTTGTTTGGCTATATATTGGTTTGATTTTTTTTTTAAGCCCTTAGATAAACGAAAGTCTAAGTCCGCCATTGTATGCATGGCCTCAGCCCAATAGGCAAGAGGCATGGAAGCATGGGCCAACAAGGTAAGCCCAGTGTCAACAATATGACGATGTTTCCGTTCTGCCAAACCATTTTGTTCAGGGTGATGAGGACAAGAAATGCGATGGTCAATACCATGAGTAACTAAAAATTTATGAAAAATACAGCTAGTATATTCACCACCTCCATCAGTTTGAAGGGCTTTAATTTTAGTAGAAAATAAATTCTCAACAATCGTCTTAAATTTAACAAACAAAGAGAAAACCTCAAATTTCAAGCGCATAGGAAATATCCACGAGTAGTGAGAAAAATTATCAATGAAAAGAACATAAAATTGAAATTCGGAAACTAATTTATTAGATGAACTCCATACATCAGAGTGAATGAGGTCAAGAGGAGCATGCGTAACAAACAAAGAAGACTGAAACGATAGCTTAACACTTTTCCCTAAAGGATAACAATGAGAAGTAAAATTATTACAAGTCTTAGTGCCATCAACAGACAATAAAAATTTTAAAATAGGAGACGATAGATGACCAAGGCGCGAATGCCAAACAGGACCAGAAACACGAACACCAAGATATGCAATACGATCATGAGATGGCATGCTAGATGGGAGAGAGCAGAGACCAAGATTACTCATGGGTCGGAAAAGAGTCTTCCCTGTCAGAGAATCCTTTATCAAAAAATGATTGGGATAAAACGTGAAGAAACAGTTGTCATCCCGTGAAAATTTATTAACGAACAACAAATTACAAGAAGCAATAGGGCAGTGAAGGATATCAATAAGAGAACAAATAGAGTTGTTAAGAGGAAGATTAGAGGAGCCAATATTGGTGATAGGCAAACCTGTTCCACCAAGCACACCATCAACATAATCATGGTCATGATATTCTAGGGAAAGAGACAAGTTACTCAGATAATTGGTGATATGAGACTTGGCCCTAGTATGCACAACCCAATTTGGAGGACAAGGATTATTGATCAGTCATGGCAGTAAGGCGTTGAGTAGGCACCCGACCTACATACGACAAGTTGAGACGATTGTAGCAATCCAACGCAGAATGGCCATAACGTCCACAAACTAATTTTATATAAATACTGTTTTTTTTTTTTAAAGTCCACAAAATAATTTAAAATAATTAATTACTATTTATTAAGTAAATTATGAAATGAGTAAAATATTTAAATATTTACCGAAGAAATAATACTTAAAACATAATTATTAATTAAGGTAATTAAGCAAGCTAAGATATTACTTAATTACATATATTAAGCTAATGAAGTTGGCAAAAAAATAAAGAGTAAAGAAACTAATCATATATGTTAAAAATTCAAATTTTTATTTTTTTTCTTTAAAAAAAAAAGCGAGAAAACCTCTCTCTACGAAAGTTGGTCGGCACAGGTATATCCCGACGATATTTGCTGAATTAGACCTCTCCCGACGAAATTCACTTCTGCCGTCAAACTTTTGTCGGGAGAGATCTAATCTTGCAAATTTCGCCGGGATATACCTTGTTGGAAAAAATGGCTCACCTAAAGGATACAAAGGTTTTGGCGCTCAAAGAGAGAATTTGAAACTGCCTAAAAGCGACCGGTCGCTGGGAAGTTGCGACCGGTCGTTTTCTTGCAGATTCG